ACCCTTGCTGCCTCTGCCTGGCAGGCTCCCCTCTTCCCCGCTGGGATTATCTGCCATGGACCCTGTTAAAGGGGTGCTCTCCCATACCGTCCTTAGGAGGGGTGCATCACGTCGTGCCAGGCTATTTTTGCTATACTCGACTTGAGTGGGTTGAGTCACTGACGTGATCTTCCTGTCCGTTTTTGCACTCCCTCGTGCCCGTGCGGTGGGGGAGATCTTTGTGGGCTATACTCAGCCTTGTCTCAGGGTAGTAAGTTGGTGGTCTGTTGATATCCCTGTAGTGGTGTGGGGGCTGTACTTTGGCAAGGTGGGTGGGCTTATATTCAGCCTGGTTGGCCGTGTCCGGCAGTATCGTCGGACAGGGCCACAGTGTCCCCGACCCCCCTGTCTCAGTCTCCAGTATCTATGCTGCAATAGTCTATGTGCCGGGGTAAGGATCAGCCTGTCCTATCTGGTATAATTCTCCTGTCTTATCTGATGTCCTGTGTGATCTTATGTATGCTCCCATCTCTCTCTCCCTTTCCAGAGGACTGAGCCCTAGGACCATGCCTCAGCACTACCTGGCCTGACGACTCCTGGCTGTCCCGGTCCCCAGTCCACCTGGTCATGCTGCTGATCCAGTTTCTGCTGTTCTATGGAACCGTAACCTTTTTGGAACCCTTGTCTTGCAGTTCAATGGAACGCATGAATAGTAGCACGGCCCAGCACCTCATGGCACAGCGCTTAAAAGCAGCTCTGCCAGTAGCCAACACTCTCTTGGAGTCCTGTGTGGTGACAGACGTGCTGGAGAAGCTTTGTCAAGATAGGTGACAAATCAGCAACGGACTTACCTGATCTCAGGGTGGGTAAAGCGGTGCGGATGAAAACACTACCAGGGGACCGGATGGGCCTCTGGACACTCAGATCCTGTGTGCAAAAAGTTGCACCACGCTCCTACTTGGTCGAAGTGAATGGATCACTGTACCGTCGTAACAGGGTTGACCTTCGGGTTGCTGAGCCAGCACCTACTCAGAACGCTGATGGTCATAGGGGTCACGTGACAAAGGACGGAACCCCAGCAAGTCACGTGGGGCCTGAGGCACTGGGCAAAGAGCCAGGGGATCACAGGACGCCCGCTCCCTCGCCCATCAATACTCCCCTCAGTCAGGTGACAGGCCTGTGCGTGATCCCGCAGTCCTCACAGAAAAGACCACTGTCTTTTCATGCTGCGGGCGGCTGTCCAAGCCATCTAAAATATTTAATCTGTAGGGTGGATTAATCTGTCAATAATATTACTAGAGGATTACTGACAGATTATTAAAAAAGAAAAAGAAAAAAGAAAAAATGGGAAAAGTGAAGACTATCAAAATGTGTTGTTTATTTTATACCTGGAAAAAAACTAAACTGTTCATGTTGGATATTATTACTAGGTTTGTTTTGTTAGTGAATTGACATCTCCTGTCCTATTTTATAAAAGGGAAGACGTTATGGGTGTAAGATGGCACGTTTCTGCCATCTGTTGGTAAATGTTAATTGCTGCAACACCAGTGTCAAGACTGGTTACTCACATCAATGACTCTTCTCCTAATTTAACATCCAAACAAATGCTGCTATTGCAATGAACTATTTGATAATGATTAACGTCACTAACAAATACAATTTCTCACTCTCCCTTTCCCTCTTTGTCATCTGTTGTTATGTACAGTAGGCTAATCATCCATAAATGCTGTGCTCTAATTGAACTTTTACCCATCTGGTTACTCATAACCCACTGGGCACACACTGGTTGAATCAACGTTGTTTCCACGCCATTTCAATGAAATTACATTGAACCAATGTAGAATAGACGTTGAATTGACGTCAGTGCCAAGTGGGAAGCCACTGATCTGTATGCACACATCCGCCCTAGTGGTGAGGGATGCTTGTCTGAGTCTCCATCACAGAGACAGGCCCAGGCCATCAGTCAGTCCCACGGATCGATACAAACTCGGGCTAGATCAGAGGAAACAGATAAAGGTTCAGAGGCTGGGATAGGGCAGCTTATTGATTGCAGACAAATTCACCCCAAAGGTCATCCTTGCCCCTACAAACCAAGCGAACCACCTTCAGACTTTATGCAAATTAAATTTGAAATTACTCTGACTGTCGTGAATCTTGTTTAAGCATATGTTTTTGGCCTCTAATTTCAGGATTGACTTTTACTGTAAGTTTCAGCAGAGTGGCTCATACATTAAAATGTATCTGATGCACGCAGGTAGGAGCACTGTTAGAAAATGTGGACAATAGCTGCATTCCAATAATCTGTTTCATTGTAACCAGAATATATTGTCTATTGTTTCTCAAATCATATTATGAGATCTATTTGCTTGATTGAGTTTCACACAACCCAGTGAGGCAGTGTAGCTCTCTTTAGAATCTGGCCTCATCAGTATTTGAGTGGGGTAGGTGGTCAGCTAGACAGTCACGTGATTCCTTCACATGCCTCATTGTTCCAGTGTCATTGGCCATGGCCCCCTGCTGTGGACCCCAGTCTTCCACACACAGGCCCACTCCGCCAGCCAAACAACTAATACCATTCATAGGAAGAGAGGAGTGCCACAGCGCTTAACAAAGAGACCACATAGGGTAACCATGAGTGTCCACCAAAGTCCGCTAAATAGTTAGATACAGTAATACTTGTACCACTGTTGTGATCCAGAATTTGTATTTGTTTTACAGACAGACAATTTTACACCATTCAAGTTGCACACATGGAACTTGCTATGGTGTCAGTCTCAAACGACCAGGTAAGAAATTCAGACAATTTGAAGAATATGTATTGGATTTGATCAATGCTGAAGTTCTGGAGTGACTGGTTATACATACAGTAAGTATATGTGTATGTAAGAGAGTGAGGAGAGAGAGAACAGAGAGAGCACATGTTTTACAGAGTGCACTCAGTTGTTCAGATCAATATACAGATTACAACTTTAATTCGCTAATGGTTTTGTGGACAGACAAATAACAGCAAGCCTGGGGGACTATTTGTAGTCCTGCTAGAGGGAACCACCCAGACTGAGGTTGAAGCTGCTTCTCTACTGCACACGTGACAATTTCGCTGAAAGTCTACTGTCTAATTAGGAAGCCAAACAGACAGTTATGACGTGAATTGTTTAGATGGGGATTCTACGTAGATTCCTAACTATTACTTCCTGTGTGTTGAGAGAGAGAGAGAGAGAGAGAGAGAGAGAGAGAGAGAGAGAGAGAGAGAGAGAGAGAGAGAGAGAGAGAGAGAGAGAGAGAGAGAGAGAGAGGTTTTCAAAGATGTTCCCACAGCTCTCTCTTCACTGTGATGTTGAGGAGAGGTCCAAAAAGAGAGGATGAATCACGACCATGCATTTAATGTATGCAGCTTGGCATGTGAAGAGAAATAGTGAGCGAGAGAGCGTGTGTGTGTGTGTGTGAGAGAGAGAGAGAGGACACAGACAAATCTGCTGAGATTCTTGGCTGCTGACTTGGTGTATGACCTGCTGCTTTGGGGGAGGTCTAGTCTGTACTACTAACTGCTGTATTGCTAACACACACTTCATGGGGCCTTGAGTGGAGAACACTGAGGGCATGAGAGGAGAGCGGAGGTGTTGCGGAACATCAGGGAACTGTTTGAGGCAGTGCAGATGGCAAAAACACGTTTTGTATTCACTGGAAACACTTTCGCAAAGGTATTTCACCATAAAGATGTGTTCTACAGACATTACATACACCATTTCATAGAGTCCCATATAGAGTACCACTACTCCTAGAGAAGTGCGTAGCTGAACACTCACAAGACTACAGCCCCAACCTCTAAATACAGATCCTCCAGCCAGGAGAGAGACCTTTTACAGAGTCGATCCTGAGTGCTGGGCTGAACCTGCTGCTGTGTGTCACTGAACAAATGTTTTAATGCTTTTTATCGGATTAGCCAATTTAAAGAGCAGCGGGCTGGTCGATGGTCCACTCGGACTGATGGGTAATAACATTATCCTGGGCTGGGATTGGCAGAAACAGCCGGGCAGAGCCATCCTACCATTGATCCAGACCCTCCAGGGCCACTCTGATGCTGTCCTCCATCAAATCACTCATTTGTTTATGAAATATTGATATGGGCTGCTATCTCTTCCTGGAGACGGGTAGATGTGGCTGGTCGGAGAAGAACATGTCTCCAAACAAGCCTTTAGATCTACTAGATAGGGTTTATTAGAATGCCTAAGCAGGTTAAAATATTAAGTCCAAAAAACCTGTTGCTGATTGTTCGTTAATGTCTCCTAACATTAGGGGACTCAGCCATTCTGAGCAAACAACATGATGGATTTCGTGTCCAATCTACTCAATGGTGATTGTCACAGAGTCCTCCTGGGGAAAATGTGGCAATAGAATTCAACTTTGTGGCATTGTTTTTCCTGTTGTGATGATGCATTTCACCAGTAGTCTGCAGGACAGGTTTTGTTGTGTGTTTGAAGAGAAGTGCTCTTTCATGGTGACTATTTGACACACCCATTGGTCTGCAGCATTCTATCACTTTTCAAGACACCACCTGTTTTTCAATGGTGGTAAATGTATGATCAATGAGACCCTTCTTATTGAACTCATACCCTTGACTATGAAACTCGATCTTCAGAGAGAAGCAATGTTACCCTATTAAGCCACCCTAGTGAACAATAAGAAATCTCATAACCCATGTTTTCCTCACATATCCCATAGACACATTAAGAGAGGGTGCATGGGAGACAAGGGGACAATTAAAAAAGGTATATTTCCTACTGCACTGTATATTACAGACTGTGCTCGATGAATTCTGACAGGCTTGATTTACGATAGCGTAGCACTGAGGCTAAAGCCCTGCCAGAACCATATAGCTACTCCACCGGCCCAGAAATGATGGCCGTCTCCACCGCTCTCCACCTCCAACACGGCTAATGTGTGATTCCATCATGCTGATCCATGCGCTTTGGAGCTCGTCTACAGGACATTAGCGCAGCCAAATGTAATTCATAGACTATCAAATCAAAGCTGTGGTCAGGAAATGCTGACTTATGTGCAAATATCAATTCAATTAGTAGGGGCCCCGTTGAGTGTGGGTGCACTAGCTTGCTTTAATGGCAATAGACGTCAACATGTTTACACAAGACAGGCAAGACACACTCATATACAGTATACATCCAATAACAGCTGATGTGTTACCGTTTATTGTCATAAAGCATAATGACTAATGTAGAATTTGGATGCTGTTTTTATTATGACTGAATTAGTGCGAATTAGAAAGATTAGTCAATTAAACATCACTTCACATCCATGCTGTAACAACTGGCATAAATAATCTGTTCACAAATAGGCACAGCTCGGGAGGTAATACCATTAAAGTTCTGCTACTGCAGAATGCTTGATATGGGTTCAGAAGCAAGGGTTTGAGTGTATTGTGAAGACAAGGCACAGTAGAGAACACTGAGTGCCAAGTTGTTTTCACGGTCGGCAAATCAGCTTCTATGCTCTCTTTCAGTGTAATGTAGGCCAGCCTGTGTCGTAGAGAGACAAAATGAGAGCACAGCTCAGCAGTTGCAATCTCAGCAAAATCATCTCTTTGGAATTATGGCCAGCAAGGTTATTCCTCACAACAACTGAGTATTTGGCAGTAGGGTAAGATGCATTGAGTTAAGCTATTTAACTATGAGAGAGTATTGAGTAAAATGTGGTCATACGCTATGGTAGGGGTTAGTCACTTATAATAAAATGCATATATAGTTCATTAAATACTCTGCAAACACTTGGCTATGGTAACACTGCCTCAAATTAGCAATACATTCAGATTTATATACAGTGAATCTAATTGCCACCAAAGCTTCTTGCTATACACAGTGCATAGTATTACGTAATGACTAGCACAAACTACATGGCGAATTCACAAAACCTCATCACCATTTACTATAATTCCCCACACATCCTCTTTGAGGTGGTCAATTCAGAATTTAGAATAACCCCTCTGGTTGATTACATAAATGATCCCTATTTGTCTGACTTGTTGCACCTCTATCAGCATCACTCTGAGTGTACGCACAGCGCCACGTTCTTGTGCCTCTCCCAGTAGTGGCAGTCCTCAGGGAAGCTCCAGGTGGCCTCGCTCTCCTTGTGGCGACTGACAGCATGCACCACGAACCCCGCCAGCTGCTTCTCCAGGACCTCCACCACGGCCTGGGCACCGCCCTTCTTCCCCGGCCCCTCCATCAGTTGCCGGATGCAGTCGAGGGGCACCGGTTGGGGTCTGGTGCTGTAGGAAACCACCAGGTTGGTATCGTTCACCTGCAACACCTCGAACCAGTTCTGACCAGCCATGTGTTGGAAGTGGTCCCCGGCACGCCAGTTCCAATAGCTGCTGCCAGAGTGGTTAACCACTCGGACCGACCAGCTCACCCAGTCGTACTTCCTGGTGAGGAATTCCTGTACTTCCTGAGCCGTGTCCTGAAGATTGCGTTCATCTTTTTCCTGGAGAAGACGCTGGGCGTCAAGGCAGGCCTGTTCAGGGAAGGCTGCTACGCAGACTTCGATGCATGCCTTCATCTTTGATTCCACTTTCTCAATTTTGCTGCTCCAGTCATGGATGGTTTCCTGCTCCTCATCGGGGCCCTTGGTGAGGGCACAGTGGCCCAGCAGGGCAATCAGGCCCAGGCAGAAGAGCTCCTTCATCCTGACACAGAAGTCCTCCAGTATGCGCCTGTTTCTCGCCTCATACCTGACACAGATGGAGAAGCAACCACTATTTACCATAATCACAAGTAAACAGTTCAAATTAATGCCACAAGTGTTCTCAAACTAATATACTCAACAACCACAATGCACCACAGGTGCATAAAGGCCCATTTAGCATGGTTAAGAACACTTTACCTCTCAACCACCTCTAAGATGGACTCCCCAAAGCTGTTGGTTCCCATCAGAGCATCATACAGCACATACAGGTTCTTCTCCCCTCCGGTCTTGGAGAAGTGTTCCAGAAACAACCTCGTCTTGACCTCCCGAAACTGTGACTTGGCCTCCAGAATGTCCATGTACTTTCAGAACTGGTTCCTGATGTTCTCCTCCACCGAGAAGTACTGGGAATCCAGCCGGCCCTTCTTAATCTCACAGTCAATGTCCTCCAGCTGGGTGGACAGTAAGTCCAGCTTGTTCCTCACGGCCAGGAACTGCTCTTTGACATAGAAGACCTCTTTGCTCTGCACGTTGTCCAGGGCTAGTCGTAGGACAGGGGCGGCTGCCTCGCAGAGAGGGAAGAGCTCCCCTACTGCGCTGGCCAACACCTCAGCCCCTCGCTCAAAACTCTCCATCACAGCCTCGATGGCCTCTTTCTTCTGGGCCACCACCTTCTCCAGAGGACTTGCCATGCTCTAGAGAGAGAATAAATACGAAAGTTGAACTATGTGTCAATGCTTGGCATAGGTGTGCCGGTCTTCAGAAATCATGCTCACAATCTGGAGGGAAAAGCTGCACATTGCTCTCAAATAAAGTGGTTGAATACCCTATAATAACAGTTGACATTCAACCCCTTATGGGGGCGCGGTGTGTGAGTTTTCCCTCCAGAGTAACACAGATAAAATTATCAATTCCAATATCGCTATTGGACATTTACAAATAAGATTGAGAACCTTGTTACAGACCAAAACACACATTTAAAGGCCACATCACTATTAAATCTTAAAGGAGTAATCAGCAGTTCCTACATACATTTTTGGACTTATAAAGTAGCGATATATACCCATTGATTCTTGATGAATATAACTTATAAATGCCTCATGAGCTTAGTTCAACTATCGTACAGTATCAGAACCCACAATATAAGCTTGTTTTACTCCAATATTTGTCAACAAAGTAAACGTAATCAAACACTCAAAATATGGTTAAAACTATAATTTTTATATCATGGATGGTCAGTCCTTACATCCATAGCTCTGTTTATGATTTTGTTACATCCATAGCTCTGTTTACGTTACAAACGTTACAGCGGTGGGTGTGTTTTGTTATAGTTTCTACTGCTGATTGCCCCTTTAATGATTGACAGTCAGTAAAAATAAATACATAGAATATCATATTTAAAAATCAATAAAGTGCAGGCAGCAAGTGTAGTCACTGGCCTGGAATGCTACTATGCCACTATTTACAGACAAGTTTTAGAAATGCTTGTATACAAGAGCTACATTTTTATATGTCTGATATTGTCAAGGTCACAGGTAACAATCTGTATAATATTGAATGAGATGCAACATTTGCATGTAAAATAAATGACAATCTAAAGCCAAAAGGGGAAAATACATTTATCATTTCATAAAAGGACTAAAATAGACAGAGGTGTGAGCAGCCCTTCACTGGGTCTGTTTATGCCTAATTTGGTTTCAGAACCGACCAAGCCCAAGCAATATATACAATAAATCCCCTTTCATCCATTGTCTGCAACCTCTAATAGGCTGAATTATTGCGTCCTTGGTCAGACCACAATCCGTAGAGGATGGACCGTCATACAGACACTGCGTCATTTTCAAATACATGATGTCCAATTAACCAAGCCTAAATAAATAAACACCAATTAGATGTGTTTTATTGGGATATTTTTAAATTATATTTTTGCCAACTGCTTGTGTTGTAATTTCCAATGTTTGAAAAAAATAAAGAATAACAATTTATAGCAAATTTTGATACAAACTTTACTTCTACATTTGTAATACTCCAACTGCAATTAATAACTATTGCAGTTGGGTCGGTAGAATAATAGAATAATTCAGGGTTTTCACTCATGCCCATGTATGATGGAGACGCACTGTATGGTTACATTTACGCACGCATTAGCTAAGTCCGATGAGTAACATTGGGCAAACCTTGCAGTCTTTACGCCTGTCTTGTTGTTTGAGAAACCCATTCCTCTCATACAACAGCACAGCGTTTCTTTACCTGATAGTAGCTCGACTTGTCCTTCACGCCCGATCAGCCCCAACAGCTGCAGTTAAGAATTTTTTTAGCGTTTTCCCACGGCTCTCTTTTCACTGTGATGTTGAGGAGAGGTCCAAATAGAGAGGAGGATTCACCGCCACGCATTTAATAGCTGCAGATTGACATGTAGAGACAAAGAGGGAGAGAGCGAGAGAGAGAGAGAGAGAGAGAGAGAGAGAGAGAGAGAGAGAGAGAGAGAGAGAGAGAGAGAGAGGTGCGCACACTATGCGGTGGAATATTTTTGGAGCGCACACTATGCGGTGGAATATTTTTGCATTCCCTCTCAGCTGTCTCAACCGCCAGTGCTTACATGAAGAGGAATTTGGTAAGCTCTTATGAGAGAGGGAAAGATAGATGTGACTGTGACTGTCATTTTCACTGATTCTCAAGTATAGGCTGAAGATCTTGGAAGATACTATTGCGCACTTTGCGTGAAAGAGTCATTGTGTATTCTCGGTAAGTACATCACGTTTGTATAAATGTGTGATAGTGTAACATGTTCTAGCAGTTAAGACATTGATCGATGGGTGAGACGTCGATACCGTTTACCGGAGCGCACCTCCCCTACAGGGAAAGCTTTTATGTGCTACCTATAGCACATACAATATTTTCTAGCCTAATATTTTTTGTCTAACCAGCATTGTATTCAGGGGTTTACTTACTGAAATCCAATTAATGAAGTCGTGTATACAATGAGAATGTGCATGACTGTTTGAAGCTTTTGACCTCAATAATCAAAATAATATTGTGCCATATTGTGCCTATAATATTGTATTGGCCTATATGACAGTCAAATTACATTGATGATGTTGGTCAATTTTTACAGCTTTTACAATGAATTGAAACAACTTCAGTGTCTAAAACAATTAACTGCATCAGTTTTATTCTCTCTCTCTCTGTCTCTCTCTCTCTCTCTCTGTGTGTATGCGCGCCGTAGACATGGTGCGCGCGCGCCTCGCCTCACGAGCTACTCCCCATTCCAGCATGAACAGAAACCATTACTTAAATCACTATTTATTAATCATTATAATCTGCTTAAAGATTTGGTTAATGCACAATTAGACCTTTCTATTCATTGAAATGTTATGAAACGGATTACACAACACAATTGAATTTAACGGCATTTAGTTGCCATTTAATTTGAAAAAAACAACAACATATTTTTCGGTGTCTTCGAAGCATGCAGCCGCCAGTCTCAAAAGATGACTTCTGACTGATGCATAAAGGTGTGGGAGCTGCACATATTGGCCAACTGCACATGAAACAAGTGCTTCCAACACGTCATGAAGTTATGCAGGTAAGACAATATCTTATGTCTCAGACAGTAGGTCTACTGGTCTTAATACATTTCAGTTTTGGTCCACCGACTCAGGGGAGGGGGATGTGGCGGGAAACCTGTTTTTCTGGCTGGCATGGGGGAATACCACAGAGGCGTAGCCTATAGCTGTGTGCGCTGTCTAGATGTCACTTTAACAGTGAAGTGGCCTAAAACAAAAGTAGACTTTTGAGTAGGCCTACTCTCATAGTAATATATTTTCCCAAATTCATGTATTTTTCATTTAGGCCCACCATGAGGCTTATCAAAACGACCCATAGGCCTATACATTGATTTTCTAATACAGTTTGGTATCCACTAAAATAGAAAAAAGGGTTCCAAAAGGGTTCTTCGCCTGTCCCCATAGGAGAACCCTTTTGGGTTCCATGTAGAACCCTACATGGAACCCAAAAGGGTTCTACCTGGAAACAAAAAGGGTTCTTCAAACGGTTCTCTTATGGGGACAGCCTGTCAAGTTGCGTCAATTCCAATCTGGTATAGGAACAAAAAGAGGTCAATACACGTCTTCTAAAATAGACTAGTATTTTAATTAATGCAAACACTTGAATTGGTAAATATGATGTTCGTATATACGGGCCCACTGAAAAACCACGCAGGGCAGTCAGAGAACTGAGCCATTGTTATAAGTTCTTCTTACTCTGACAGAGATAGTTCCTGCTCCAAGCAGGCCTATCAGAGTAGAGTCTGAGCGTGGTTTAGACTTACTCAGCCTATCATTGGCGCACAGGCTGGTCCCAGCCCCTTGGCGCTTCACTGTTGCCAGGCGTTAGTTGTTATCTCCACAACTTGTCTCGAGTCAGCAACCCCAGACACAGTTTGTCCTTGAGCGGTTTAACAAAGAGGCAGTGTGTGTGTATGTGAATCACAAGTCTGTCAAAATTCCAGAAAATGATGTCATGGCTTTAGAAGCTTCCGATAGGCTAATTTACATAATTTGAGTCAATTGGAGGTGTACTTGTGGATTTATTTCAAGGCCTACTTTCAAACTCAGTGCCTCTTTGCTTGACATCATGGGAAATCAAAAGAAATCAGCCAAGACCTCAGAAAAAAATGTGTAGACCTCCACAAGTCTGGTTCATCCTTGGGAGCAATTTCAAAATGCCTGAAGGTACCACGTTCATCTGTACAAACAATAGTACGCAAGTATAAACACTATGGGACCACGCAGCCGTCATACTGCTCAGGAAGAAGACGCGTTCTGTATCCTAGAGATGAACGTACTTTGGTGCGAAAAGTGCAAATCAATCCCAGAACAACAGCAAAGGACCTTGTGAAGATGCTGGAGGAAACAGGTACAAAAGTATCTATATTCACAGTAAAACAAGTCCTATATCGACATAACCTGAAAGGCCGCTCAGCAAGGAAGAAGCCACTGCTCCAAAACCGCCATAAAAAAGCCAGACTACGGTTTGCAACTGCACATGGGGACAAAGATCGTACTTTTTGGAGAAATGTCCTCTGGTCTAATGAAACAAAAATAGAACTGTTTGGCCATAATGACCATCGGTATGTTTGGAGGAAAAAGGGGGTTGCTTGCAAGCCGAAGAAAACCATCCCAACCGTGAAGCACGGGGGTGGCAGCATCATGCTGTGGGGGTTCTTTGCTGCAGGAGGGACTGGTGCACTTCACAAAATAGATGGCATCATGAGGAAGGAAAATTATGTGGATATATTGAAGCAACATCTCAAGACATCAGTCAGGTAGCTTAGTGGTTAAGAGCGTTGTGCCAGTAACCGAAAGGTCGCTGGTTGTAATCCCCGAGCCGACTAGGTGAAAAAATCTGTCGATGTGCCCTTGAGCAAGGCACTTAACCCTAAACCCTGCTAAATGACTAAAATGTAAAGGTAAGTTAAAGCTTGGTCACAAATGGGTCTTCCAAATGGACAATCACCCCAAGCATACTTCCAAAGTTGTGGCAAAATTACTTAAGGACAACAAAGTCAAGATATTGGAGTGGCCATCACAAAGCCCTGACCTCAAAATTTGTGGGCAGAACTGAAAAAGTGTGTGCGAGCAAGGAGGCCTACAAACCTGACTCAGTTACACCAGCTCTGTCAGGAGGAATGGGCCAAAATTCACCCAACTTATTGTGGGAAGCTTGTGAAAGGCTACCCGAAACGTTTGACCCAAGTTAAACAATTTAAAGGCAATGCTACCAAATACTAATTGAGTGTATGTAAACTTCTGACCCACTGGGAATGTGATGAAAGAAATAATAGATGAAATAAATCATTCTCTCTACTATTATTCTGATATTTCACATTCTTGAAATAAAGTGGTGATCCTAACTGACCTAAGACAGGGAATTCTTACTAGGATTAAATGTTAGGAATTGTGAAAAACTGAGTTTAAATGTATTTGGCTAAGGTTTATGTAAACTTCCGACTTCAACTGTACATTCTAGTGATTTATTGTAAGGATGTCTTAACTACTTATGAGTTATGACAGCAAATAGCAAATGTTAAAATGCACTTCATCATTAGGTATTAAATTCACTTAAATGGCATCATGTGTGGGAGCCTACAGTAGCAGTGTTACCAAATGTTTACTTATCAGGATTCCAAGTCTATGCTGACACCTAGAGGTATGAAATTATACTACAGCAGGGTTCTACCCTGTTCCTGGAGAGCTAGCCTCCTGTAGGTTTTCGCTCCAACCCAGTTGTAAATAAACTGGTTCAGTTTATCAACCAGCTAATTATTAGAATTAGGTGTGCTAGATTAGGGTTGGAGTGAGGAAGGTAGCTCTCCAGGAACAGGGATGGAGAGCCATGTACTACAGCCACTACCCGATTGGCTTCATGCAACACATGGGCCCAATCCCAAAAGGACCCCTAGACCCTACACTCTATGCACTTGTGGAGATCTGATAATATTAGACATGTGCAATCAATATGGTAATAGCTTCACCTTGCCCTCCGATAGGCTAAATTTAAGTTTCACCATAATGCTTATACGAATCAAATCCTCTCAGATCTCCGCAAGTGCATAGGGTCTAGGGGTCCATTTGGGATTGGGCCATGGACTCAGGGGCAGACTGGCCATAGAGCAGGTTGGGCAAATGCTAGATATAATTTTTTGTTTCACAAAATTATTTGGCTAATAATTTTGGTCTTGGGGGAAGAAAATGGGCCAGTGTTAGAAATGTTCATACTTAATTCTGGTCCCAGTCCGTCCCTGCATGGACTTCTCAATTCTCAGCTCCTACCTTTTTCGATGTCTCAGATACAGTCAGGTCCATAATGATTGGAATCCTTGAAAAGATTAGCAAAAAAAGACTGAATAAAAGAAATAATACAAATACTGAGCTACGTTGCATAAAGAAAGTCTACATGCCCTTGAACTTTATTTCCTACAGATCTACACAACCTACAAAAAAAATTAAAATAATAATAATACGGATAATGTGTATTTTGCATTCAAATGTGTGTAATTGTCCTGCAGAAAAATAAAATCCCAGGGTTAGGTTTTCAAAAGACAGGTGAGTTTTCCTATAACTTTTGCCTGGTCTTTGCTTCTTTCATATTTATTTTGATCCTAACAAACTCCAAAGGCCCTGCCAGTGACAAGCATACCCATAACATGATGCTGCCACCACAATATTTGAAAATACAAAGGGATCAACAACATTACATTCAGTCCACATTACTGACCTGTATGACAAAGTGAAAAGAAAGAAGCCTGTGCTAAAAAATCCACTCCAAATTATCCATTCGGTTTGCAACAAGGCTGTTAAGTAATACTGCAAGACAAAACAGCAAATAAATTAACTTTTTGGCTTAAATTCTAAACTACATTTTGGTGGCAGCATCACGTTATGGGTA